TAATTAACATTAAATAGTTAATTTTTATGTTAATCATGTATAATCAACATCTGTTTTTTTCATAATTAAAAAAAGTGAATGTAAATTCAAATCCTATAATTTTTATTATTTTTTCCAGTTCCTACTTCCTGAGGTTAATATATTTTATAATTTATTCAACAAAAATTAACTTTACACTTTTGAAGACAAATTTTTTTCAAATTGATAATGAAGAAATATCAATTTTTTCATTTAAACTTAAAAATTTAACCAATTTTTAAGTTAACATTATATAAATTCAAAAATGACCATAAAATTGTTAATACGTCAAAAAATTATTGTTATACATAAAAAATAGTTTTTAAACAAAAATAAAGAAAACAAAATATTATTTAAATAAAGAAAACAAAATATTATTTAAAAGATGTTATATTTGATTATAATAAAAAACGTTTTAAATAGTTTTTTTTGCAAAAAAATAACAACGTTTGATATTTTAAAGGTGATTAAAAAAGACCAATTGTGTATATAGGTTTGTTTCATTTTAAGTGGTCATTGCAAAAGGTTTTTGTTTTTTTAATTCTAATTATAACAACAAACGAAAACAAAAATAATAATATTAAATAAAACAAAAAGCACGAAAAAAGTTGACAACTTAACAAAACTTTTATTTTCAACCTAAAAGTTTTACCATGATCTTGATTTTTTAAATATAATGAATGTTGTTTTGTTCACGTGTTTATTTATCCTCTGTTTATCACAACCAGAACAGAAACCACAACAAGAGGAAGGTGCTTTTGGATGGGGAATCATAAAAAACACACAAACTATCATTATAGAAACTCAAAGTGAAATAAGACCCATGGTTTTAAATCTTGAAAAATTAATATATTTTGTTAAACAATATTCTGGAAATGTTGATACAGATTTTATACAAGATGTTGTACTTTTAATTTCAATTGAAATAAAAAACTGGATTTAATGAGGGTATATACATCAAACCAGCATTTAGAAGGTCCAGACTTTGTTATTTTTATGAAAAGATTCTACTCTTTATTACTTTCCAGAAGTTATGAAACAATATTATTTAATGTGATGAGTAAATGGTGGGATCAACTCAATCCACTTTTTGAAAAAGTGTTACCAACTTTATCTCAGTCTCAACAAAATATTAAACATGTAGCCTTTGATTGTATGGAATCATTAAGACGGTTTCTTGGATTACAACTAAAGATGGTCGTTTTATTTAAACCAACCCCCTTTCTCAGAGATGAACAAGTTTCAAGAGATTGCAAAAGACTACTTTCTGCCTTTCTAGTCAATTTACGAGACAAATTACAGTCTTTACCAAATGCATTATCAGTATCTTTAATTTACGAGGAAAGATTTATAAAAACAAGCACAGCTTTGGAGCATCGAAGAGCAGCTACAGATGATGATGGTTCTTTTGAACAAGGAGCTACATCTTCGACATTACCAGTTTCTTCTCCCAAACCCGTTTCTCGGCTCGGAAGAAAATACACAAGCTTTAAACAGTCTTTTAGAAGAAAGAAGAGAGATAATTCTCCCAAACCAAAACCACACTAATAAATTCACTAACACTATTATGTCAAATTATTATATCTTTAAAGTTATTTATACTATTAATAGTATAAACCAAATTTAATTGTATAATTTTGTATTACATAAATAGTTTATATAAAGTCATTCTTAAAACCGTGCAACTTTGACGTGTCAGTGCAACTTTGTTTATAGTATAATTATAATAAAAAATTATATATTTTTATAAAACAAAACAAGAAAACCAGAAATTTCCAAAATCAGCTTAAAAGTAATTAGAGAAAATTTTGGTATTAATTGTGTTGATTTGTCAATTAATTACAAAAAGATTATAAAACTGTCTTTTTGTATTTTTTTGTTTAAAATAAACGTAAAAAGGTTTCAAATTATTTTTTCGGCAATAATTTCATTTGGTACAAATCTTTTGCAAAAACATAAATTTGATATAAACAAAAAAAGAAACAAAAAATACTTCAATAAAAAACATATCTATGAAAATACAAATAATTGTTTTTGGTTTTTGTTTTTTGAATGATGGCAAAATTGTAAATTGGTAATTTTTTTTTGAAAAAACAGCAATTAACTTATCAAACGTGTTCTTTATTTAATATCACATTTATTCACTGAATACATTTTATCAATAAATACATTCAATAGCCATTTTCAAAGAACATCCACTGCTTCATTTTTAAAGACGAGATCATCAACTACAATTTCTGTTTTTTTAAGCGCTTTATCATGTGTTAACAACATCATCCTTTCAACTGCATCAATTCCCATTCGTGGTCTAAAGTACAACTTGAGACGACTAAATGCCGACTCACATAAAGTAGAAGTAAAATTTAACGAACAACATAACAATAGTGCTTCCAAAAGCAGGGGGTGTTTTTGGAGACCAAACTTCTATAGTCGTAAAGGTCAAGAAAAAGTTCTTCATCATTCGATCCTTTCAAATCCATTAGTTCTTCTCGAATCAATTCAATATCATTTTCATTTTTAATTATTTCGAGTTCGTTACCATAAATAGCCATACACTCTGGTAGTTTAGTTATACCAGTTAT